CTCCTCTCTCTGGGGCTTCCCACGCCCAAGAGTATTTTGCACTCCCGTTTTGGGACAATCAGCCTGGCTGGTTTTGTACCTGCCCCTCTAGTACTATGAGAGCTTCTCCCCATCTTGGCAGGAAAGAACCCTGAGCCTCTACTGGGTCTTCTCCCACATCTCTCTGTAGGGAAACATCCCCATCTTCCTCAAGCCTGGCACTGACATTGAGGCCAGTCCAGGTGCCGCAGGTTTCTGAAGAGCAGCTGAGAGGCAGTGGTACTAATCCTCCAGGAGCACCCCCAGAGGTGGATGCCTCCCCTGGGAACCTTGGTCCCCAGCAGGCAGCTTCTGTGCTGTTGCCACGACGTCGTCTCAACACAGACAGCAGCTGGACCCCCAAGAGAGTGGCCACCGCCAGCCACTTAGGTGGACTCCAGAAAGCCCAATCCGTGCAGAGTCTGGCATCACAGGGTGAGGAGCTTGGTGGTCTCAGCTCCAGGGTGTGGGGAGCGTGGAGCACACGTGAGCATGCTGAGGGCACGAGGGCCTGGTGTAGCCCTGTTGTGGTACTGTGCTTGCCACCAAGTGGCCTTCAGTGGGTATGTGTCGGACACAGCAGCACCTCAGGAATTGAGCCTCGGCACCTGGGACTTCTTCCTTACTACCTGACGTGCTTCTATCTCTGTTTCCTCTACAGGTGGGGCTCTTTCACCAGGCCCATTACTCTTACGGGAGACGGAAGCCCAGGAGGGCCTGCGTCCCCTGCCCCAGGCTAATGGTCGTCTGTCTCGGCCCCATTCCTACCAGAACCCCACCACCAGTTCCATGGCCAAGATGTCCCGCAGCATCTCTGTTGGGGAGAACCTGGGTCTGGCAGCTGAAACTCAAGCTCCTGTCCCCATGCGGGTCTCACCACTCAGGCAGCTGGCCCTGCCAAGCCGGGCTCACCTGGTCCTGGACATTCCAAAGCCACTACCTGATCGTCCCACCCTGGCCACATTCTCACCTGTTACCAAGGGCAGGGCCCCTGGTGAGGCAGAACAGCCTGGCTGCCCAGTGGGCCTAGGAAAGGCTCACAGTACATCTGAGAGGCGAACCTGTTCAGGGGAGGGTACCCCTCCCAGGCTTAGGACAGAGTGCCAGGTTCAGCCTGGGCCCAACAGCCCTTGTGCCCAGCACCTGTCAGTCGGCAGCCTCCTCCAAGGCCCTGAGAACTTGCAGCCCCCAACCCCTGAGAAGACTCCCAGCCCCATGGAGTGCATCAGGCCAGGGGTAGCCCTAAGCCAGGCCTCAGGTGTGCACAGCTCCCCAGCTTTCATTTCCTGCCCCATCCTCTCTCTCCCGTCTCTGTTGGCCGCTCTCTGGCTCCATCCCATTTCTGTGAGTCCAGCCTCTGGCGTTTTTCGTCCTGTCTGCTCCCGTCTCGGTCCATAAGTCACACCCCTGATGGTGAGACACTCCTGCCAACCTCATGATCTGTCTGTGATCCCCTTGCCCCTCAGTGCCTTCTGGCCCCTGGGGCTGCCCCTTTTCTTTGGACCTTATTTTCTGTGTGGTGTTGTGGGGGTAGGGCATTGGGAAGGAAAAGGCAAGAGGAAGGGACTGAGGGCAAGTGGTGGGAGGAGGGTATGATGCTGGAGGGTGGGCCTATCCTCTGAGTGGCTGTGGGTGGGGTGGCCTGAAAGGGCAGCTTTGGTGTGCCTGAGCTGTCTGTCTCTTCCAGAACCAGTGGTGAGCCTGGAGCAGTGTGAACAGCTCGTGGCAGAGCTCCAGGGCAGTGTGCACCAGGCTGTGCAGCTCTACCACTTGGTACGTGTTGGGAACCCGCAGGCTGGGAGACAGCCTGTCAGAAGTGCTAGCTGAGTATTCAGAACATAGAGATAAGGCTCCTCCACTGGTGGGTGGGTGGAGCAATCTAGAACATCCTGGGCAGAGAAGTCGAGGGAGTCAGAGGCCAGGCTGGGCCATTTGAACCAAGCACCTCTTGGTTATTTCTGGCTAAGAGTTAGAGACTTCCTCAGACCAGAGCTAGAGCCCACATGTCCTAATTTACTTAGGACCACCTCAGTTTATGCTTGTTGTCCCAGTGTAATTATTAATAGTACCCCTTTTCATGTTCCAAAACCATTTGGCCACTTTGGACTTGAGGGCGGTCCAGCAGGGCCATACCCTGAAAGAGGAATTACTAACAAAATGTAGATGGTGCCACAATCTGATGGGCTCTACCTTTTGGTCACCCAGAGTCTGCCTCTATCCCGTAGCTGCTGGTCGTATTGCTGATCCTGGAGTGTGGAACTCCCAGCCATACCCAGCTGGGCATGCAGTCCCGTCTTTGGGGGCAGGCTACCTAGGTGGGGCCCCTTCTTTTTATACATTTGTTGACAGGTTTTTTAACAGGTTCCCATCTCTGTTCCTCCAATTCACTTCTGGGCTCTTATTGCAGGTGGCTAGCTGCAAGACACCCTCAGTGGAACAAAGTCGCATCACCCAGCTTCTCAGAAATACCTTCTCTTCAGTGCGGCAGGAGCTAGAGGCTCTGGCTGGGACTGTGCTGTCCAGCCCCGGCGGGAGCCCTGGGGCTGTGGGAGCTGAGCAAACACAGGCCCTGCTAGAGCAATACTCAGAGCTACTGCTTCGAGCTGTGGAGCGGCGCATGGAACGCAGACTCTGAATTCCAGAAGCCTGTCTTAAGTGAATGCTTCCCCTATTCCAAACCAGCCCCCCTTCCACTCACTAAAACCTGTGGGGATGCTTGGAGTGGATAACAGTAATCAGTGCTCAGAGGGGAAGCAGTTCTCCCAGCTGCTCCTCATGGGGCCCCTGTATTTATTAATTTATTTCCCTGACTGTTGCCTCACTTACTTGGAACTCCTGTCTCCACAGCTCCTCCAGTGGCTCATGCAGGGGTTAGGTCTGGGTCTTTGTCATCTTGGTGCTGTGAAGAGTAGGAGGGTGGCCTGCCCCCTCTGGGGGAGATCAGGAAGGGCTGGCCCTCTGTCTTCTTAGAAGCCATTTGAAATTACTGCAGGGATCAGCTCCCCTGGGTGGAGCACACATACAGGGTATTTAGTGGGTAGAGGTGAGCGACAATGTGATATTCAGTGCCCTTTAGCCAACAGCAGAGCGGAGCCTCTCCTCTACCTCCACTTCCCCTCCCACACCAGCTGCACTCCCCTGGCTGCCAGAGCAGGGGTTATCCATTTTCTCCAATTTCTGGCAGTTCAGAAAGGCAGAGCCCTCTGGTCCTCCAGGGCATTCCCAACCATTAGGTGTCTTGAGTTTGTATCAAGGCTCAAGCCCCCACATTCCACTCCCACTCCCTCTCCAAGAGGGCCCTGACATTGTCTTTCTCCCTGTGCCCCCTTTCTGTCTTGGCCGGAACTTGTAGAGCCAGCTGTGGGACATTGCTGCGGGACAGTAAAGCCCTCTGCTAGGCAGACATGAAACCCTGGCTCCTTTCCTCGGCCCTTTGGTCTTCCCTATCCTCCAACCCTTGGTCCCCAGCAGGCTGCTGGAGTCTAGAGGCCACCACCTCCCTGCATCTGAGTGATGCTCAGTCAGAAGCCTGTATTGGAGTTTCCCTCATGGTTTACAGGGCGCTGGCCCACTTTCTAAAGACCTTAGCCACAGATGAAGTCTCTCTCACACACACCCCCAGTTGCGTGTTCATTACTAGCATTCTTGGCTGATGGATGTGTGCCTGGTTTCTTCTCACGTCCTGTCCCAGCTTCACCACCCTGGCTCCTGTGGAATGCCTATAAAGAAGCATGAAAAGGGGTGGCGCACACTAACCCCCAAATCTGGATTCTTGATGTCCACAGTTTAGGTGTCCATAGGCTAGGCCCAGAGGGTACTCGTTTGGGGTAGAAGGAGTCTCCTCAAAGGCAGTGCTGTGCACCCAGGGTACTCTGGATATTGGAGGTTGAGGGGAGGGAGGCACGTGGGGCTGCAGCAGGGGCCAAGAGACATGCTGGAAAGGTGGTAGGAGGGACAGGTAAGTGGTGGAGGTGAGGGGATAGATTAGAATTAGAAAGGCAGTTCAATGTCACGGGAAGGAGGCAGGGCACAGTGGGCAGGTAGAGTAGGTTCAAGTAGTGAAGCAGTTATCGAAGAGTTGGGGTGAAGAACGTGTCTCTGGGCCCTGCTGCTTCCCTCTGCCTCTGGTAAGGCAGGGCAGCTTTACTATACATAGCTCCAGGCCACAAAAGCCCATTCTCCCAAAGATAGGTTTTGGGCCCTGCTGGCTGAATAGGCAGAGGCTTAGAAAAAAGAAATTGGATTCTGAAGCATGCCCAGCTGTTTGGCTCAGCCTAAGTGCACCTAAATAGATGAATCCTGTTTCACCCCCACTTTACTACCACCACGTGTATGGCCAATCGCAGAGAAATTCTGGGCCCAAGAACTCACAGCTGAGGGTGGACCCCCCACCCCCAAGTGGCACACCAGCCACAGCCCACCCAGAATAGGGCTCATGCCAGGTCTTCTGGGCGGGGTTCTTTGTGTTCCTTGGCCAGCCTGTCTCTCACAAAGAGGGAGCAACACTCTGGCTAATGTTTGTGAGAAGGTGGCCACCCTTTCCCTACCCCTATCCCAGAAGAGGAGGTTTGTCTTGTGGCCAGGCTAGCGCCTGTTCCCTTCTGCATGTCTGAGGCCAATGGCAACTGCTGGCCCTGTCCAGATTTGCCCTGACCTGGTTTTGAAAGCCCCTTATTTATAACTTTTTTTATATTTCGTTCAGGCCTTGATGCTTTCCTCCTCCCTAGGTCTCACGGGGCAGGGGTTGTTTTTAACATGTCCATTTGTATTGCTGTATGAACTGGTCAATAAAAAATCGTTTGTTAACTTTGGGACGCCAGCAAGTGGGACAGGCAACAGAAGGCACTTCTCACTCGTTGCGTGGAAGGCGGAATCCCCCAATGCAATGGGGGCGGGGACTAAGTCTCAGGGAGTGCTGGGGGACAGCCCGGCGCGAGTGCGATCTTAAGGGAGGGAGGGCGGAGCCTGGGGACGGTGGGGCGGGGCTGTGGCGTCATCATTATGGCGGCAGCGGCTTTGGACGCCGTACGGAGGGAGTTACAAGAATTCCCGGCGGCTGTAAGAGGTGAGTGGGTTTGCTCAGGCTGTGGTGTCCTGGCGTTGGCTGCGAATCAGTGTCAAGATGCGGGAGGGGCCGTGGGCATGCCAGGGACCGGATTCCGGAATCGTGTGGCACTGGTGCTTCCTGGACGCAGACGCAAGGCCATCCCCTCGAGGAGCGAGGAGTGCACATTCTCGTGCACGTGACAGGTTGATGCCTCTTCTCTGATCACTCCCATGTCGATCCTCCTCCGAAGCCGCGGGGAGGAGGGTCTCAGCACCTCTCCTCTCATGTTTGTATGCCCTTGTGGCTTCCTGGAGTGACTAAGTTTGGGCACTGTCCTGTTTCCCACAGCCAGCCCCGCACTGAGTAATCGGGGGTGTGGTGTTCCCTTCCCACCCTTTCCTGTCGGGAAGTCTTTCAGTTGGTCAGATTCTCTCTCTTTGAATTCCTACTGGAACTCTGTTTAAGAACAGACAGTTCTGCAAGCTGGGGGCTGCGCAGAGCTTGGGGAGAATTGGGGGCAGCTGTACGAGTGATCCCTGTCTCTCCGCTGCTAGGTTTTTGTTTTTCGCTCCCCTCTTTCCCTTCCTCTCCCCCTCCCTTCACCAGTGAATAGAACATGGGCACATGGTTTAAAAAACAACGGTTTTATAACATAAAGTAAGCTTTCTTCCCATTCCAGACTCCAGTTTGCATTCTTCCAAAAATACTGTTTATATCTACATACATATTACCTCCCTTTTAATACAAATGATAGCCTGCTAAACACACTTGTCTGCATTATGTGTCTTGGAGATCATTCCATATTCCTGCACTTCAGTCTTTCTCACACGTGGATACTAGTGCTGTAATATACTTAATGGTAGGCATGTAGGTCATTCCCAATCTATTATTTCAGTAGTGCTGCAATGAATACTTTGAGTGTTCATTTAACAAATACAACCATGTGCCACATGTGAAGATAATTTCGTTGTTGTGCAAACATAGAATGTGTACACAACCCTAGATAGTATAGCCTACTACTATAATTGTATGTGCTGTGCATACTTGTATGTGACTGCCGGCGTCACCACAAACCTTATGGGACCACCATTGTATTTATGGCCTGTCATTGACCAAAACATTGTTACATGTAGCCTGTGGCTGTACTTAAGCACTCCAGTGGGCCAGGCTCTGTTCCGTGGATTTAGGATTCATCACTGAGCAAAACCAGTCTCTGCCCTCACAGAGCTTGCAGTTCTAAGTGAGGAGACAACAGTGAGCCATAGACACACTCAGTTGAGGAGGTTCCGTATAGGATGAGTGCTACGGGGGAGAAACAAAGCAGAATGATGGACCTTGGGATGTGGGGGTGGAGGGCAGGCTACACATTTAGTTTTATTTTTTATTTAATCTTTTTTTTTGGTTGTCAAATGACCTTTAATTGAAATATTTTCATTTGTAGTTCTTAACTAGCCGGGCATCCCCCTGTACCACTGTTGATGTCATCTATGATGTCACGAGGGTGGCGGCCATCAACATTGCAGCCCACAGAGTGGGCTGTCCCCAGGATCTCGTTAATGGTTCCAGAGAGTTCTCTAGCTGAAGATCAGTGCCGCATCTGACGGGCAATGTTGACAATCTCACCAAGAGTGATAGTTCCACTGTGCTTAATGTTTTCTTCTTTCTGTCTTGTGGTGGTTCTTTGAGGGCTCTGATGATCAGGGCAGAGGCAGAAGGCACTGCCTCAATCTGGGCCTGTCTGTTCTGTGTGGTCAGTTTCACTGTAATCCTCAGACCTTTCCAATCACGGGTTGCTTTGGCGATGTCATCACCAACCTTTTCTGGAGATAGGCTCACGGGGCCGATCTTGGGGGCCAGGGCAGATGTGGCACCGACTTCCCTGCTGGTGCACCTTAGACATATGACTTTGATCTCATTGGGGTTGAACTTCGGCAGCTTGGTAGAAGTGGCTGGTGTCGGATGAACCGAGATTTGGGTTGACTGAAGAAAGTTGCACCTTTGCCTCCTTTGAGCTGAAAGATGAAAGCTGATTTAATCTTTATTGTATTTTTTTCCCCATTACCATTTAGTCCCCTTATATCCCTCTCCCTCAGCAATCCCCACAGTGTTGTCCATGTCCATGAGTCCTTTAGATTACACACTTAAATGATATGGTCAGGGTAGGCCTCCTTGATAAGATGACATTAGCGCACAGGCTTGAAGGAGGGAGGGAGGGAGCTGTGCAAACACCTGAGAGAAGGGCACCAGGTGAAGGGCATGGGCGGGCAGAAATCCTGCAGTGGGAGTGTACCTGGTGGTTCAAGGGACAGTGAAGAGGCCCATGTGCCTGGAACAGAGTCTTTGTGCACAGGTGTGAGTATGTTTGTTGGCTAAATTTCTATCAGAAAAGTTGGGCCAAAGGAATTGTTTGGGTTCCTTTTGAAATTCCCTCACTTGGAAGCCCCAGGAGAAAATAGTAGCCCATTCTCTACAAGAAAACTATTAAATGGTAAGAAAGTAAAACTAAAGTAGCTGCAGAAAGTACAAAGGGTTAAAAAACAGTTGTGATGTACTTTAAAAGTCCTAGTGAGAATCATAGGGAGATTCACTGAGCCCCACATCTCCACCCCCCGCAGGGCGACTGCCTAGATGGGCTGGCGTGGCCAGGAAGGCCCTCTGCCAGCTCTGTCCTCCGCTCCCTCATCTGCCGGGCAGGGTCCATCTTACCCTCTTGCCAGCGGAGCAGGCACACGTGCCAGCTCTTTCCTTTTCAGTTTTCCTGGGCCCACCAGGGTCTGCCTTCCCACTCAGTTCCAATCTTGGATCTGATGACCTTCACTTTCTGACTGATTGCAAGGCAAAGACACTGGAGAGATGCAGCTGTGAGAGATGGAGCGTGACCTCAGAGGTGAAAATGAATGCAGTGGCTGCTTGGAGCAGGACGCAGCCCCCCATTGGGGGCTGTGACATTCAGGCTAGACCTCAAGGATAAAAATAACAAAGCAAAGCCCTGTACCCTTTTTAAAAGCTAGGAGAAAGGCATTCCAGTCTGAATGAGTGGTAGGAACAAAGTTTCGTACTGCCTCAGTAGTGTGTGGTGACGTGCAGGCACCAGATGAGGAAACCAGACCGGAAAAGTAGGTTGGGCCTGAGTGCATGCCAAGGCAGACAGTGTGTCATAAGGACGAGTGGTAAGTCATCAAAGGACTTTTTTGCTTGAGGTGTGACCAGGTGAGATTATATTTTAGGGAGATGACGGGGGCCGGGGTGAGGGATGCTTTGAGAGGGAGCAGAATTAAGCCCAAGAAACCAGCTAGTTCACTGCAGCAACCATCCAACCAGGAGCTGTTGGAGACTTGAATTTAACCATTAAGCAAATATTTACTGAATGCCTACTATGTGCTCAGTATTATTCTAGGTCCCTAGGATGCACCAGTGAACAGGACAAACATCCCTGCCCTCTTGGAGCTTACATTCTACCAGGAGACCAATAAACAATTTGGATCAGTGAAATACATAGTATGTTAGATGATGATACATGATGGGGAGAGAGGAAAGTAAAGGAAGGGGCATGAGGATTATTGGCAGGGTATAGTTTTTAAGCAGGTAGTGGGGTGGGTGGGTGGGGGGAGTCTTACTGAAGTGACATTTGAGGACTCGAAGGAGGGAGGTGAATGTGGATACCAGCAGAGGAAAGAAGGAGGGGGTAGTTTGAGAGACACAAGAGGTAGTAGAAGCAGTAGGGCTTGGAGACAGTCAATAGGCTGACTGGGGACGGGAGAGGGAAGAGTCAGGAGAAGAGAGGTTTATTAAGGTGGCACAGGACTGCTGGAGACTTCCGCACAGGCAGCATGCTGTGCTCCCTGCTCAGGGCTCCTGGCGGCCTGGTGTCTGAGGACGGTGATGCTGCTTTTCCTCCTGTGGTTTTGTGAGGCAGTCTGTCTCCCCATTTGGTTGTAAGCTTCCTGCGATGCTGATTGGATCATCCCTTGATACCGCTGCACTGGCCAGGCCCAGTGCTGAGTGCATCCTAGGTGCTCAGTAAATATCACTGTTCGAGAGTGCTTTCCAGAGCCTCAGCCCCCCTCGCCAGCCTCGGGGCCTCAGCTCTACTCATGCCGGAGCTCCCAGTACCACCCAGTGGCTGCCTTTCCTAATGGATGCTGGGAGGTCAGCCACTCCAGAGTGGGAAAGCTGAGAGTCAGACATGGTCCCATGGAGGGTGTGGGTTATGGACTGAGCAGCAGCCCCTGGCCCTGTCGGCTTCTGTGGCCCATAATCATGTGCTTGTGGGTATGTCACGCTCTCTCCCTTAAATTTCCTGATTGTCTGGGATCCCATGGTCACCAATGGGCATTGTCTAGAGATACAGTGTGACCTGCCCAGGGAGGGCATCCCTTGTGCAGACGGTGGGGCAGCGACTGGGTGCTCTTGGCTTCATCTCTCCCTCGCCCCCGCTCTCTTCTTTCTCTCAGAGCTCAGCGTGCCTCTTGCTGTGCCCTACCTGGACAAGCCCCCACCTCCACTTCACTTCTACCGGGACTGGGTCTGCCCCAATAGGCCCTGCATCATCCGCAATGCCCTGCAGCACTGGCCGGCCCTCCAGAAGTGGTCACTCCCCTACCTCAGGTTGGGGCTGCCCCGGCGGGATATGGGCGGTGCTTTGTGGCATCTGGGCAGAAGCCGAATGTCCGTTCTTCCAGAGCCAGAGTGGGCTCCACGGAGGTGAGTGTGGCTGTGACCCCAGATGGCTATGCGGATGCTGTGCGAGGGGACCGCTTTGTGATGCCTGCTGAGCGCCGCCTGCCTCTGAGCTGTGTGCTCGATGTGCTGGAGGGTCGAGCCCAGCACCCAGGAGTCCTCTATGTGCAGAAGCAATGCTCCAACCTGCCCACAGAGCTGCCCCAGCTGCTTCCTGATCTGGAGCCCCATGTGCCCTGGGCCTCTGAGGCGCTGGGTGAGTGAGCAGATGCGGGGGCCCTGCTTACTCTCTCCCGTCAGTGGTGACTTGCCCACACTCTGGGCCCCACGGGGTTAAGTGTTGTGCACTAAACCCTCAGGTTCCCAGGCCTCAGCTTTCCATCAATAAACTACTGAAGATTGCTGCCCCTCGCCAGTGGCCCACCTCTACCCTTTCTCCCTGCTCCCTTCCTGCGACCCCTCTGCTCCCCACCCAGGTTCTGGCCCGGCATCACTGTAAGGTGGTTATTCCCAGCCTGGCCTTTGGGACACCCTCTTTTAATTCACCCTCTTTCCTCTGACCTGCAGGAAAGATGCCTGATGCTGTGAACTTCTGGCTGGGAGAGGCAGCTGCCGTGACATCTTGTAGGTATCAGGTGGGGAGGAGACCAAGAGTGGAAGGTTAGGCCTGGCTGAAAGTTAGACTGACTTTCCTCTAAGATTCCTTCTGGGGTTCTGGGCTCGGACACAAGAGAGGGCCTCCTTTGACAGCTCAGGTGGGGACAGTACCCTCGGCATGTGGGGTGGAGGGCACTGTTTCTTCTAGGTCCCTAGAAAGCTTCCCAAAGACCAGCTAGGCCAGGGAGTGAACTCAGGAGAGCCCTGTTTGCTAGAATTTCCCTCTTGGTGGAGATGAGCCCAGGGCCTGGCAAGTGTCAAGTCCCCGGAGGGCAGAGATCAGAAATGCCAGAAACCTGCCAGCTTTCCCCTCAACCCTCCTCTGACACAGTGTGCTCATCTCTCACACGATAGCCATCTTGGGGTGCAGGGCCCCAGCATGATTGTTTGCCCCCTCCTGTGCCCTGCCCTCGGGGCCCCCTTTGTGTTGGCAGTGCATAAGGACCACTACGAGAACCTCTATTGTGTGCTCTCGGGAGAGAAACACTTCCTGCTACATCCACCCAGTGACCGGCCCTTCATCCCCTACGGTAGGGACTTGGCCTGCAGGTTCTGCAGGAGCACTAGGTTCTGGGGAGCAGGCAGCCCAAGGTGGAGGGAGGTCAGCGAGGGCCCTGGGCAGGCTCGCACCCTAGGCCAGAGTTGTGGGCTCTGTGTTTCCACTGCACTAGGGCTCCTGACCTTCTTGCCCCTGTGACCAGGGGATAAGTAAATGGAGCTGGCAAGCCACAGGCCACTTGAGGGGTCCCACACCTTTCTCCCTCTGGTTTCAGAGATGTACATACCAGCAACCTACCAGCTAACTGAAGACGGCTCCTTTGAGATGGTGGATGAGGACACCACAGAGAAGGTGTTTGCCTTGTTCCTGGGCCCCAGGGAGGGAAGGGTAGGAGCCTGGGCTCTGAGGAGCAGGCCCAGAAGAGCTGGGGCATCCTGGTGCAGAGCAGGGCAGAGCTTGAGGTGTTTACCTTTGGAGGAGACAGAGTTGGAGGGCCTGGGCCTTAGAGCCTGTCCTGGCATCCACTGTGTCTGCAGGTGCCCTGGATCCCACTGGACCCATTGGCCCCAGACCTGGCTCGGTACCCCACCTACAGTCAGGCCCAGGCCCTGTGCTGCACAGTGAGGGCTGGTGAGATGCTCTACCTGCCAGCCCTGTGGTTCCACCATGTCCAGCAGTCCCATGCCTGCATTGCTGGTGAGGAGCTGCCCGTCACCCGGCGGCAGGACCAGCAGGGCATCAGACGGACGGGTGAGGGGGGCTGTGGGTGAGTAGGGGGATCCTCATGCTCACACCTCGTTCTCTCTGCAGTGAATTTCTGGTACGACATGGAGTATGACCTCAAGTACAGTTACTTCCAGCTGCTTGACTCCCTCACGAAGGCCTCAGGCCTTCCTTGACTGATGGAGCCTGGTGAATACTGTTGCCAAGGACAGCTCATGGAAAAGGTCGTTTCCCTCTTGGGCCAGGTGAATTCTGGAGGCAGCTTAGAGTCCGAGTGTGCTGGCTCCTGGCCAGGCTCAGCTTGCAGTCAGCTCTGCTGGATCTCCGGGGGCGGTCTGGAGGGCCCGGGGGCACCAGGCGGGTATGGGTGTGGGCTCCCCCAGGGGAGGCAGTGGCTCAGCCTCACACCTCTGTGACCCGGGCTGTGTTCATGCCTCAGAGCATTGGTGTCCTGTCTGTAAAACAGGCAGTGACTGTTCTGCCTCACGGAGTGTTGTGAGGCTGGAGATAGTGTCTGTAGGGGTGGCGTGGGGCCAGCCCAGAGGATGCTTCAATAAAAAGATAGCCGTGACTCATGTGTGCTGATACTTCCTCTTGACGTCGCCGTTTGTGGTCTGGCAAGGGCTGGAAGGTGCAGGTAAAAATTTCAGGGTGACTCTGACTGGGGGTGAGGGCTGGGTCCAGGCCTGGCCCGAGGAGCTCTCCGGTGCCAGGACTGCCCCATTCACGACTGCGCTCCTGCCCGTCGTGGCAGGGGGCCCGACCCCAGTCTCATCGCGATGCTTTGGTGCAGGCCTCCTTGGTTGGGGCCTGCCTGTAAAGCTCCTCCTAGCCTTTTCTCTCCTTTCCTCCTGCTCTGGGGCAGCCGGTGGGGTCTGGTGCCTTGAGGGTCACCCCTGTCCCTCCTATAAGAAGCATAGGTAGGAGGGGACAGAAGCTGCTGCCCACCCCCCCACCCCACCAGCCCAGCCCTGGAGGTGAAAGAGCCCCCTCTCCTGAGTGCCATCCCATAGGCCGCAGCCGCGATCACCTGGCACTCAGCTCCAAGGATGGAGGCAGCTGGCTTTGCAGGGCTGTTTCATAGAACAAACCACACCCCTGCCAGGTCATCACCAGGCCCGGGGCACTCCTCTCAGATTGGCCAACCATCCCAGTCAAGACTGGGTATTCCTGCCATACCGGCACTGGGAGGTTGGGAAGGGCCCTGCCGTGGGGGACGTGGCTCTTCCTCTTCCGCTTGCTGCTGCCCTGGGCCCGCCCACTGCTTTCCAGACCTAAGTGGTCCCTCCAGGAAGACAGTGAGCTCTGACAGCGAGCTCTCCTGGGGCTCTCCTCTAGGTGAGGAGGGAAAGCAGGGCTGGTTGGGTGGGCACACAGGTGGTGATGGCTGGAGAGAACGGATTTCGGGGATGTTAAGCCACCACCACAGGGAGGTCAGTGGCTTCATACAGTTTTAAGATGCCTCATTTCCTGGACAGGTGGATGGTCCAGGAATGAGTGTGGGGCTTGGGTGGAGCGGAGGCAGCTGGGAGGGACCAGGGAGGAGCTTGGAGTCAGCTGGGATATCCCTGGTGCTGGATTACCCCTCTGACAGTCCTCAGTTTTCCGGCCGCCGCCAGCCATTCCTTGCTCCAGAGGACTCTCAGCCTCATGGCTCTGGTAAGGCAGGTGGAGAACTGGGCCCGCGCTCTAACCCCTGGCCTACCCTTAATGCTGTTCTTAGCAGAGCTGTGGGCTTCTTGGCCTGGTGCGGTGCGCAGAAGCCAGGGAAGAGGCAGGGTCTTGGGATGAGGGGCCATCCTGGGTTCCTCTTGCCCCTTGGGATAGGCTCCGAGCAGAGCTCCCTGGCGCCATGGACCTGGGCCCTGGTGGCTCAGGCTCCCCGCTGCTGTGCTGGGGCCTCAGAAGGCAGTGGCTGCTCCACGGCTCCTTCCGACTCAGCTGCTTGGGTGTGGGGGGGCCCGGGGCTGACACTGATTGATGAGCTTCCCCGGCCCTTCTCTGGACTCCGTCAGGGCCCTCCCTGAGGTGGGTTGAAGGCCAAAAGGAAGGACTGGTTGGCACAGGTCTCTGCCTCGGCAGCCTTCCAGCGTCCACACCTCAGACCCAGGGTTGTGGTTTGGATGGAGCCGCCGGAGAGCCGTTGTTAGCCTGACCTGGTCGGATGGGAAGGACAGGACGACCTGTGGGCAGTGTGACCTGGTGGTTGCTGTCTCTACCTTAGCAGACAGCCCATTCCCAGAATTGTTCCCTGGCCAGGGGTGGGGAGTCTGGAGGTGGGGAGCGGCTCAGACAGGGGCCCGAGGCCAGGCTGGGGCCCTGACGTACCTCTTCCCTGGGCCCCCGCTGCCCAAGACCAGCCTCAAGCCTGCTTATTAAGGGTGAGCTGGGGATGTGGGTGAAAGGAGACCAGACTAGCACCTGGAAGCAGGTGAGTGTGGGGACTGAGAGCGCAAGCCTGGAGCTGCCTGGTCCAATCCTGGACTTGAACCTTGGGCCAGTGACTGCTTAGTCCTCCTGCCTCGGTCTCCTTGTGGGGTTGGTCACAGGTGGTCCCTCCACACAGGGTGTCTATGTGAGTGAATGAATCGCTGCACAAGAAGACTGGCTCAGAGCCGGCCCAGAGCAGTATATCAGCGTTGACAGGCGGCGTCAGCAGGGGTCACAGCCTCCGTCCCCTGCAGGGCTGTGGTAGGCAGGCCTGGGCCTTGTGGTTCAGGATTAGGCCTCGAAGGGTCTCCGTAGCCTCCCCTTAGGCCCTTGTCTCCTTTGGGTCTCTCTGCCCACAGCACACCCAGCCCTTTCTCCTCTGCAGGTGAAGGTGCCCGGGACCTGCCTGCTCACTGTCCGTGTCCTGCAGGCCCGTGGCCTGCCCTCCAAGGACCTAGGTGAGTGCTGGGCCCAGGGTGGGTGACGGTTATGCCAGTGCAATCAGGGTGGGCAGGGGCAGAGGGAAGAGGTGTGAGTAGGGCTGGGTGTGCAGGGGCCTCCCGGAGAGGGCACCGAGTGGGGGTTCTGGGTGGGAAGTCATGGCGGGGACTCTGCCTCTGCTCTTCCTGCCTCCTGACCCAGCCCCATTCCTTGGGTCTCTAGGTCTTCCTGGGCTGCCTGTGATGGAAGGACGTGGGCTTTGGGTGGCCAGGCTGGGAAGGGCCCTTGGCTGTCCTTCACCAGGTGCTCGTTCTTCCTTCCCACAGTGACCCCCTCTGACTGCTATGTGACTCTCTGGCTGCCCACAGCCTGCGGCCACAGGCTGCAGACACGCACAGTTAAGAACAGCAGAAACCCTGTCTGGAATCAGAGCTTCCGCTTCCGAATTCACAGCCAGCTCAAGGTGGGTGGGCCTGGAGTCAGCCCCGCCCTTCTCGCTGTCTCTGTCCACTGCCCCTGTCCCCTCCCGGCCTTTCATCCCCTGCCCCAGCCACCTTCCTATCCTACCCCTCCTCCCTGCAGCCCCTCCCTCTGTCCCCTTCCAGAACGTCGTGCAGCTGCAAGTCTTTGACCAGGACCTTCTGACCAGCGACGACCCTGTGCTGTCGGTGCTGTTTGATGTGGGGACTTTGCGGGCTGGGGAGTTCCGCCGAGAAATCTTCCCCCGGAACCCTCAGGCAAGGCTGCATGCACCCAGGGCAGGGGAGGGCCTCCACCCGGGGGAGGGGAGATGGCTTGTGAGGCTTCCCTGGCTTCACAGAGGCCTCTGCCAACCAGTAGCTGCAGTCCCCTGAGAAGCAATCCTGTCCCCAGCCCTCTTTTTGACACCTAAGCCAAAGGCAGCTCTCATGGGGCAGCCCAGAGGGGGTGGACAGAGCAGCCTGGCCGTGGATGGTGGCTCTCCCCGCCAGGCCCAGCAGCCCCAGCTGGCGTCTGGTTGGAATCTGCCCTGTCACGCTCTCTTCCCCACTCCTTCCCCTCTCCCTCCCCGCCACCTCTCTCTCTCCTCATTCTAACTGGCTTCTCTCTCCAGGGTGAGCAGCAGCTGGAAGTTGAATTTCGGCTGCAGAGCCTGTGAGTCGGGACCATGGGACAGTTCCCGGGTGGGAGTGTGTCCCTTCTGGGAAGGTCAGGGCCCAGTGCACCCGGAACCGATACCCCTCCCTGGCAGCCACCCAGCGGCAGAGGAGGAATGCCCGGGCCCCCTTGGGGGTGCGCACTGGGGAACCTGGGCTCCCACTGAGGATCACCGGGGCCTCTTTTCAGGACCCACTGTGTTGAGCAGCTCATCAGTAATGGCATCCTGGTGGTGAGTTAAGAACCCTCCCTCAAGCCATCTGCTTGCTGTCCTCCCCGAGCTTCAGGCCCACCCCGGGGTCCGGGGGGCACCCTGGGATTTCAGTTTCTCAAGAGGCTACAACCTCCAGCAAGTGTTCAGTCACTTGGGCCACCGTCACAAAGTGCTGAGGGACAAGAACCAGGGTGCCGGGAGGGTGGGGGCCTCTCATGGGAAGGGTTTGTGTCTGAGGGGCTCTCTTATGACTCAGGCCCGGGAGCTCTCCTGCTTGCATGTCCGACTGGAGGAGACTGGGGGCCAGGAGGGTGAGTCCCTGACCCCTGGGATAGCCCTCACACTTGTCTTCCCCTTTCAAGGGGAGCCTGGCGGGGGCCTTGCACTCGAGGCCCTCAGCTCTTGGGCAGGAGGAGGGGTTGGGGAGAAGATCCATACTGGGGCTTTTTCCCTTAGTCCTCAGAAGGGCTGTAGAGGGGGAAGTCCATCTCCAGCCTTGGCCTGGGCCACAGGTCCATCACAGTGGGGCAGAGGAAGTGCCCCCCATACCCCTTGAGCAACATGAGGGCCTCCGGGCTGAGATCCTATCCCCAACCTCTGCTCTGGTATTGTTTCCAGGGTCAGAAGGCAGAGTTCAGCTTGTGGTTCCCGGGTCCTATGAGGGTCCACAGGAGGCCTCCGTGGGCACCACCTCCTGCTTTCACTGCCCGGCGTCTTGGGAGCAGGAGCTGAGTGTTCGTCTGCAGGTAGCATGCCGTGCACTCCCGCCAGGGGCCCACAGAGCCTCCCTCCTCCTCTCAGCACTCCTCCCAGCCTGTCCCTCTGCTCACCTGGAGCCCCCCGACCCCTCTTCACTCCCTGGCAGAGTCAGGCACCCTGGTAGGAGTGCAGGGCTGATGCTGGCCTTGTGCCCCCCTTCCCGCTGCTTCTCTGTCACTCCCAGGGGCAGTTGGCAAAGTCCTTGACAGAAAGGAAAGGTAGAGAGCCTTAGTTTTTCCTTCACCCCCCTTGCAGGATGCCCCCCAGGAGCAACTGAAGGTGCCCCTGAGGGCTCTGCCCTCTGGCCAAGCAGTGAGACTCGTCTTCCCCACGTCCCAGGTACTGGTCACCGGAGGAGGAAAGCCAGATGCGCAGGCAGGGCCAGGCACCAGGCCTGGGGGAGCTGGCCTGCTTCAGTGGCAGCTTTGGTCCGCGGGCTGTGCCTTGGACACATGCTGGACCAGGCTCTGAGTGTCCCTGCCTTCAGGTGTCAGGCCTGGCCCCTGTGGAGGTGGCTGGGGCCCCGAGGGATCGTGGGGACACCATGGGGTGGGGCTCAGGCTGGGGTGAGAGGAACGGGTGGCCTGCCT